CGAAAGACAGAAAGAGGAAGTGAGAGAGAGAGAGAGAGAGAGAGAGAGAGAGAGAGAGAGAGAGAGAGAGAGAGAGAGAGAGAGAGAGGGAGAGAGGGGGAAGAGGAGAAAGAGGAGAAAGAGAATTCGTTTCGCACACCAAGCAGCCTCTTGAAGCAGCTTTCGCTCGCTCCCTTCTCGTATGTGAGGGAGGACAGACAGGAGCAAAAGGGTTGCGTGTGTGAGATGTGGATGCCGAAGGCGCAGCGACGGCAGCGGCAGTCGCGAGGATATGGAACACGAGCCGGCGGCGGCGGCGATCGGAGAAAAGATGCTGCGCGTACCCGAGGAAGAAGCAGGATAGAAGGCTCCCGATGTGGGGGTGGCAGAAGCGGCGAGAGGGATGGTAGAAGGGGATAGAAATGAAGAGAAAGAGAGAGAGAGGGAGAGGAAAGCCGGAACGACCCGGGGGTTGCCGTGGTGCTATCGACCGGGCCGCTGGTCGGAATCAAACCAGGCGTCGGCGCCGTGGCTGTCCCGGCTTCCTCGAGTGCCGGACCATCCTCCACCTCCACCTCCACCACCATCACCGCCGCCGCCGTCGCCACCGCCACCACCATCGCCGCCACCACCATCACTACCATCAGCGGCAAGAGCAGCAGGCACCAGCACCGCCACCTCCGCGGAGGTCGCACGGCTGCTAGCCCTTAGCGCGTTAGTAGTGCCCGGGATACAGTCGATCGCGCACACGAAGGGTGCGGGTCGTCCTGGGGGTTGATTGTTGGTACGAAATTGGTTGGTTGGTTGGCTGGTTTCGGCAGTCTTGCTCTTGCATGCAGTCCGTCTCGCGACGGATTGTCGTCGCGTCGCGATTCAACAGCTGGCGAGAAGGTGCTTAAGCGGAGAGTATGTGAATCGGCAAATATTTCGCGCCCGCTTCAATCGCGGCTTAACGACGCTTCGAGCGATTTGGACTGCGCTCGAATGCGTAATCGGCATTGTTCTCAAGAGCGTAACGTCAACTCCGGACTCTTAACGTGATGCGAGCCTCGAATGGATCGAAGCGCTACGTGTTGGTGCGTGTGTTGCCGGAGCGATAGAATTGAAATTATTTGGACCGATACGGAAGTTATCTGACCGAGAATATCTGAGTGAATATCATTATGCACTATGTGATACGAGGAGACAACACTAGATAAGGAGTTGGATGTTTTTCGGTGCGTTCCTCACATTTTTTGGAATTATCCTGTAAATAATGCAATGTTCCTGCTCAATAATTCATAAGTTAAACGAATGACATTATCTCACACTCAGTAAAAACACGTATTCAATTTGAATAATTGTATTTAGTTGCTTTTGTAAACTTTGTTTTTCTAGTTGTTCAACGAATCTGAAACATATGGCTTCGAAATATTGTCGATGATAACTCCGAGATTTGAAGAAATCCGCGCATCGTTTTCGATCAATATTAGTCGCGTACACATTGCAGGAAAGAGTAAAATTATACCAACAATGGCAACTACGTTAGAAATTTCCGTCAATTATTATCGCGAAAAAAATACATCATAAGTCTTAGTCTTTTCAGATTTTGTAGACTACTTTTTTGAAGATTCAATATTATATTAACTATACTTATATTAATTGAATGTCATATTAAATATTATTTATAGAAAATATAAATAATTAGTATTTTAAAAAATTTGCACTTACTAGAACACATACATTTATACGATTTTTAATATATTCTTGTTATTTTAATTTCCCATTTCACTCAATTTTTTACAGATAATAATTACAGCTTTTGAATTTAAGCATATAATTTTATTATTTATACTGCGAATAAATGTATCAGTTATAATTAAATTGAAATATAAATGTCTCACTCAAAAAAACCGAGGCACTAAAATGTTACAATGCGATTTACAAGAGCATTTTTTTTGCGGCTGATTATAAATACTGGATCAGAATGAAAGATTTTTTTATCACGCGTAATAATTAATACATAAAATAATATTTGAATTATTTTAATCATTTCTAGTTTAGTTATTGGACAGAATATTTTATTATATGTTAAAACTTTGAAATAATTTGATGATAAATCTAACAAAATATTGCATTTTACAGTAATGCATTTTTTTTAAGTACAACATCTTCATTTTTAAAAATCAGTTTTGTCATTGAAGTATTTGAATTCTCTTATTTCTTTCTCTTTATATTTTCATAATATATTTTCATAATATATATTTAAATTCCGGCCATGTTTCCGCACGTCAGTTAAAATTAATATATTATAAAGATAGAGTATGATGGAAATGAATTGAGAGAGAGAATGATTATGAAGGCTAAGCCTCAATTTCGAAGATTGGGGGTTCGTAATATTGTAAAATGGATCACCATCAATTCTTTTTGACTCATCCATTTCTTGCAGGATGCGCTCTCGTTGATCCGTGCAAAAATGTCACGCCGGCACTCGTGCAATTTCCGCGATAATATATCGGCCTTTTTCGCTAAGGATCCGTTCTTCCTTTCACGTTATCGTTGCTGCCTCAATAATTTCTCGTAGATTTCTTCTCGTGGAAACTTCGAACTTATCTCCCCCGTCGGTGAATTATTAATCGTCCGGTCATCCCCTCCCTTCTTCCTGCTGCAATTAGCGCGAGCTCCGGAATTTAATTTCGCTCGCCAGATTGTCGCGCTTATATGATTCAGCATTGGCATCTCGTTTTTGCTTGTTTGCTTGAATGGCGCGAAATCGAATAATCCAATGATAGTTTGCACCTCTTTTTGAAATTGCGTCAGCATCGCGCTGCTCTGTCGAAAGACCCTCGGGGAATCCGATCTGCAAAGTACTTAGGAGAGACAAGTCGGACTAACTTGAGAATCGGGAATACTTGCTTCAAACTATAGCCGGCACGTTCCCATGGAAAGGAGCGCGAGAAAAAAGTTCGTATTTGCTGTAAATATAAACGTGTGAGTTATTACGTCAAGAGAACATTAAATTAATCAAATTTTGAACATAAACATAATTTGAATAAACATTCAAATTATGAATATAATATTGTATATAATTAGTATTTGAACTTTTACATAAATAGGTATTTATGTGGCGCGCCATTTCAGCGAGCTTTGCTTTCATAATTTTAAAGTTTCTTTTACAGATAGATACGAATAACACTAATAAATGACACATGATAAAAATATTATGGCAGTTACGATTTATTCTCTTTAATGGACGGATTTCTTTATTTCTTGAAATATTTCTTTAAATGAATGAAAAATTAAATGGATAAAAAATATTAAAGATACGACTCTTGATTATAATTTTTGGTTCGCATTTACATCCCCTTTTTTTGTATTTCGTAAGTATAATAACACTTATTTGTCATTGTCACAAGAAAGTAGATGGTATACTTCTTACGCTTCGGCACGTTTATCAGAAGTTTCAGAAAATAAAAGTAGCAAGAAAAGTCTGCATTTATATGGCTTGTCTTAACAATTGCACGCTCGACGAGATACGAAAACTATTACATCGTTTTTGCCACATAGGTAACCTTCACAGCTCACTATTTCGCTTGGCGTTTGGAAAAAGACAATGGCAGGCGTACCTTCGTGATAATTTAAATGCAGGCTCCTTTCTCTCTCCGAACAAGGGGAAGAGGAGTTGAAATGATTCTAAAGCTGTAGTACCAAATATACCAAGGGCCAGGGAGAGAGTATATAGTTTATCCCAAGTTGGAAATTGGAAATTCTCGCATAGCCACAGTTGAATGCTATCGGATTTCGCGTTATACGAGCAGTTTGAGCAACTCATTCGAATCAAACTACATCGTCATTGCAATTAATTAGATTTTGTCGGGCGACTGGCCGTGCGATTCGATTTTTCACTACTGGGTTCCGGCGTAATGTATATTAATTATTGATTTAACGAACGTAAATTTCAAGTCCAGCGTCGCTGAATTCCCGAAAATTCGATCCAAAGGGTCGATGCATACATCTGCATATTAATACTCAATCGGAATGGTCAAATTTGCGCTATTACCACAATGGGGTCAGTTTTCATCGCAATAATATATGGAAATATATATTATCCTAGATTGGAGAGCAAAATATCTACTTCATTTCTCGTTATTTTATAATAAACAGAAAAAACAGAACAGTTTTTGAAATTATGTAGCGTTACTAGCAAAAATCAATAAACTAAAATTCGAATATTCCATTTATTTAGATGCGGATTTGTTTAATGGAGAATACAATACATATGTCCAAAACAAGTATATTTTTAGAATAACCGATAAAATAAAGAATAAATGATTATAGAAAATGTAGAGGATAAAGAATGTTCGAAATTTGCTGAACCGATGGAGGATTAGGACAGGGGTGTGAAAAGGATGTCGTTGGCGATATACATGCTTCACGCACGATCATCCCCTCGAAAGTATATCGAGCATACATTTTTCCAGTTCACTGGGTAGACGGTAGCAATTTACGCGCCATTTCTCGAGTACGAAGAACAGCTGTCTGTTTTCGTAAAATTTTAAATTATACATGTGATGGAGATCTGTCCGAAGTTTACACATTTATATACTTGTGTGACTGTCATCGAGTTAATTGAATTTGACGTGAAATTAATTTTCAGAGAAACTACAAACTTAATGAACCATCCTTTATATATTGTTGCAGCGTGTTGAGGGCGCGAGGTGAAAGCAGGTGGTTTCCGGCAAGAGCAAGAAATAGAAACTCGAGGATCGAAGAATCATCGAATGATTCTCCTTTCCCGAGACGATTCGTAACATATGCGACGAGGACGTTGAGGATTCCGCGCGAGTCGGCGATTCCGAGGGCGGTGTATCGAATCATCGTACTTTGGGTGCCGATGATTCCATCAGGATCATTCACTGCCGACGATTCGAGCTCGTCGATCGTCACCGAAGCGTCGTATATACGCGCGTGTTGCGCGATAACGACGATCAGTCGCCAGATTGGCAGCTCAGCGTCAACGCGGGCAACGTATGCACCTGAGAATGGAAGTGAGAGTTTGCTCGGAGCCAATCAGCAGCAGAAGCAGCGGCAGCAGCAGCAGCAGCAGCAGCAGCAGCGGCAGCAGCAGCAGCAGCAGCAGCGGCAGCAGCAGCAGCACGATAGTAGTACCGAGTCGCTATTCTGAATTCGAAACGGCGGACGAGAAGCGCAAGCCGCTTGGAGGGTGCGGGATTGGAGGTGGCGGCAAACCATATCGGAAACTGTGGGAGTGGGTGGACGGTAGCGACGGGATAAGAGTGGTGGTGGCGGCAGCGGCAGTGCGGAAAGGGGTACAGGAGGGTAAGCGCAAAAAATTGCCGGCGGCAGCGGCGGCGAGGACGGAGGGCCGAAGGACAGGCAAGAAGGCGGCGGCGGCTGCGGTGAACGGGAAAGGAAAGCGGAAATCGGAAGAAGAAAGGGGTCGTCCATCGGTAAGAGGGCCCCACAGATGCGGGGCCCGCAGGGGCCAGTCCGCGGCGGCGTGACGCGATGCGGACGTCCTCCTCCTCTTTGCCGAGGAAGAGGAAGAGGAAAGACCTCTCACCTCCCGACACCGTCCTTTTCACCGGCGACTGGCGATCGTCAGTTAAACATGTCTTTCGACAGCACTGTCTTCTGCAGCTCGATATTATCGTATCGTATCGAACGCGGTATATTTTTCACCGGGAACAGGATGTTTGCTCGACGTGTCATGAGGTTCCTAGGAAGCTGGGGAATCGCCAAACAAACGGGATTTCCGGTGAACGATGCTGTGAACGAAGAAAGCGGAAAGGAGGCAAATGCGACAAGGGAAGTGACGACGAAGAAAATAAACAAGAAAGACGACGAAATGCGAAGGATATTGCGAATAAGGGGATTCTTCGAAGAGTCCTATCTGATGGCGGTATCGCCAAAAGCGTCTTCCTGCTGGCGCTTCTCTGCGCCCAGTGCTGCCTGGCAGGTACCGAAGCTCTGGCCGGCACTCAAAAGTACTGTACCAGAACAATTAAAACGCGATACGGTATCCTGCGCGGCATCGAGGCTAGATCGTCGACGGCCGTCGAGACTTATTACGGCGTGCCGTACGCGACGCCGCCACTCGGAGCGCTACGTTATATGCCGCCGGTTACCCCGACACCTTGGCGCGGCATCAAGTTCGCCGATACCATGCCGCCAGCCTGTCCGCAGCGGCCACCGGTATTGGACGAGAGCTTGCCGTGGCAGAGACAGGCCTACCTCAAAAGGCTGGTGCCACTACTGGCCAATCAGAGCGAAGACTGCTTGTATTTGAACCTCTATGTGCCCAAAGCTCCTCATGGTAAGTCGGACATTATCCTAAAGAATGGTCGTACTGCCTAATAAGCAAGAAATACCTTGAAACATTCCAGTAACGTTGTAGCAACGTTACAATGTTGCTAGAACATTTCATGATGTTTTTTGTTTAATGAGTTTTGTTTAATGAGAGGAAAAATGTTGCTTGGTAGAATAAAGAATGGCTGCATTTAATAGAGAAAGTAACTTTACAACTGTTGTAAAATTCTTTGATACGATTGAATTTTGCTTTTGATTTTTTGCGACTTTAAATGTAAATCAATCATATTGAAGAATTTTACAACAGTTGCAAAACTGCTTTCTCTGCTGAACGCAGTCAATATGTTAAAGCACTTTGTTGTTGGTAATGACTGTTTTTACAAATTCTACTTTTTTGGCGATAAATTAATTTTACTATAAATGTGATTTTTATTTATATTAATACATGTATATATATTTACGATACTCTTTATATATTATACATTACTTTTTTTAAATATTCTGTATGAATTTATATACAATAATATGTCTGATATAAATAATGCACATAGAAATATTTAAACACTAAAATTTATTTTAATTGAAAAATTGGATTTCCCATATTCAATTAGATTCATTCTCAGCGGTCTATTTTAAATTGTAATTATTTTTTTATACATATAGGAGTAATAATTGGGTAAAATAATAATTTGGTTTATAAAATTATATTATTGCCCTCGAATATTCTTTGTGCTTTCTAAAAAATAAATTCTTTTTATATTTTATATTTTTAAAAGACATGAAACAAAATTACCAACAATTTTATGATTAAAAAATTCTATCAATTGAAGATTAAAGAAACGATTGGGAAAATGTTTTCGTCAATATTGCAGTATATTTTCTTTTTTTAAGTAGAAAATAATGTTAAAAAAGTAACAATATTTCAGATATCTATGTTTCACAGGACTTCTACCTTCTATTTGTTTGAGATAGAAACACTGGTATTCTAAATCCTAAACAAAATTCTCTTGAAAAATATGTGAAAATACGTAAAGCTCTTGCGATGCACTGTTTGGAAAATCCTGCTTCATACACCATACGGTCCATTGTCGAATACAAAATTCGCCACGGAAACATAAGCTGAACTTTTCGGAAATATATCTTACGACGTAAAAGTTTGGTGATATTTTCGCGAGACTCTGTTTCGAAACACCATCCAATTTTAGGTAGATTGCTCAACTTGGTCGAAAGCGCGTCGCCAACCACCAAGGGAGGGGCAAGAGAGAAGCGCAATTTCATTTCGTGATAATCTGATTATTGGAGCATTCGGGAATGCAGTATCGGTGCATTACGACACGTGACAATGACACATCGCGCGCGTATAATTCTGCGCGACAAGTAGATACATATGTAGGTATGCATGTCACGCCAACTTTTTTTCTTCGTCAGACGCACGAGCACGGGCCTGTTAGATATTCCCAGAGTTTCGCAAATGATGTTCCGCTTCCGTTGAAATTACGTTTAGTCGATTTCGACGTTCTATTTACAATGCGATTCGATTCTTCCTCTCTCGCTGGACATGAGACTACAGATATATTGTACAGGACGACGTGGTAATTCGGCAGAAAGTTTAGACAACGAGGTGTAATGAGCTCTCATGAAAGTAGAATTATTCATCTAGAAATTATTATCTTTTCCTCGTATTGCATCACAAGGAACTTTAGTAAGTGCTATCACTCACATTTGGAATTTGGATGAACTTTTCTGCGCTGAGAGAGACATGTTGACCTTAATTGCTTGCTTAAGCTTCTTGCTCGTGAAAAATACAGAGAGTTGAGAGAGGGAGACTTTTAAATTTATCTAACAGTACAAGGTTATCTCATGAATGATCCATGCGCGATATTACGCGATATCACTGATTAGTGTATATCTTTCATCCCTCTTTCTCATCCCATCCTTTCCGATTATTCTAGTACAGTTGAAATATAAAATGCAAAGAGAGCGCAAGAAGATTATAACGATTGTGAGCAATAATTTCACCGACCATGATTTCTGCCAGATTAGAGCCAGGTTAGAGTCAAAGACATAGAGCACGAACTACGTAATCGTGTGTACAATTGTCGACAAAAATGAAAGAAATAAAATACGAAGATAACTAGTCTCTGTCTCTTTCTATTCAACGGTGTAATATTGTTAGAAAGAGACGGAAATTGGTTATTTTCACGTTTCTCTTCTCTTTCATTTTTATTAACCATGTCAGATATTCTATTTAGATACGGATGGCGTGGTCCATGTTCTATACCTTTGGTTAGAGCTAATTTCAATGTGGTGTACAGTCAAGAGGGTAGAAGATGGTAGGGAGGTAGAGAAAACAAAATATCACACTTCGCGCAGCCGAGAGCTGAGAGTTCGATGTGACGACTTTATAGTGGTCGCGATTTCGCGTGGCTGTCGCGATGCTGGTCTCCTTCACAAGAAAATTCTTCTACTCCTCCACCCTTCCACCTTTTTACCCCTTTTCCCCTACCATTACTTCCTCGCAGCTTTTAGCGTGGGGATTGGGAATAGAGCGGGAACGGGTGTCTGTAACAAAAGAGCGGATCGATCGGTCGTGGAGACGCTTTTCTGATTGCGAATACAGCGAGAGACTTTCAGATGAAGTGTAAACGTGAACCAATATACGGATCACAGATATGGAGATCAACAGAGTGAGACTGCATCCCGCGATAAATTTTCAGATAGGAATTCGGCCGGATTTGTTGAATTCTGTAATATTCCGGTTGTGTGTATAAAGGTGACCCAGTTCGGTTCTCTTGAACAGTTTGGCTTTGCTGCGCTTTAGATAAATATGTCTATTCCAATTTTCGATAAGAGAAGCTATCATATATACCAAAGAAAATTTCTTTCTCAGAGAAAGAATTTGTACGCCATACATTAATAAGAGGGATATAAATTTTGGTGGAAAAATAAATTCTTTCGCTCGAGATAACGCGGATGTATAGGATTAATTAAAAGCGTGAAATCTCCATAATTTCCATAAGGCGCGATCAGTCGGAGATAGAGCACGTATGAGAGACGTTGTGAATCTCGCGATACGCGATGATGCGCGATCCACTTGCGATTTTTCCGTTTTCTTTTTTTTTTTTTTTTGTTTTATGGGACCTCTTATAGAAAGGCCGCTATTATGCTGTCGAATAAAAAGCCGTAACTACCCGACGTTTCAGCCGGATTAAAGAGAACGAGCCGTCGTTGCTTCCTTTACTATCACGTTGAATTCTCTTGCTACTTTTTACAGAGCGCTTTTTCTCTTGCTTGTCTCTTCACTGACAACGCATGGGGGTGTGCAATAGCAGCACCATCACCACCACTATCATCACTACTAAGCAGCTTAGTTTTCGATCTTTCATCTCTGAATATCGTCGCGGAAAATTCAGACGAGAGTTTGAACTCCTTCGCTCGTGGCGCACTCGCGTTATTGAAACGCGACTGTAATATGCGGAATTTAAATGCGAGAGAGAAGGAAAGAGAAAAACATTTCTCAATCTCGATCGCAATGTGGTGCTTACGATTAGGAGTTTACAACGTTACTTTAATTCTGCACGAATTCGTGCAGAAATAATTGAAGAAACCGATGATTTTCTAGTTTGAAGATTTCAATTTTGACCTCACATTTAAAATTCTTTTCTGATGCGATATTATAATAAAAATATAATCCATTAACAGCTGGAATAGAAGCTTCACGTTGGATAAAATACGGAGGTTGCGCAAGAAAGAATGCGTAATATATCGTATATCAAGTAGAATTTGTGCTTATTTTAGTGGTATTGTGTTTATTCGACAGATTGAGAGCTTTCTCATCTTGGATCATCGCGAAATTACTTTTATGATTATATATCCTACATCTGTTATTACGCAACGGCAACGATGACGACTCGTAACTCTGAACGATCATCTTCATTCTGAAAATACTTATGATATCATTTATGGATATACAGCAAACTGAAAATAATTCTAATCTGCGATTAATTTAAACGCGTGATTATAAGTTTTATTTATTTAATACGAGAATTTTGTTTAATTATGATCTAACAATAAGATATTGTCCATGAATATGTTATGAACAGAAAATAATCTGTGATTAATTTAAATAATTTTGTCACAGATTTTATATATCAAATATAAGAATTTTATTTAATATAATTATGATGTAAAAAAGATATCTGCGAATATGTCATGAACAGAAAACCTATAATCTGCGATTAATTTAAATTTGTATGATTATAAGTTTTACTTATAATTTAATATACGACATTGTTATTTAATATAATACTTAATATTACGTAAATATTATGTTAATATTATGTAAAATAAAATTACTGCATACGCTAAATATGTTATGTAAGTTCATACAAATTCTTTATATGTCAAGATAATCAATAGTATGCTTTGTTATATTCACACTGTAATAAAAACAAGCAGCGAATGTTTTTCTCTTTATTATTTATCATTTAATAATTCTTCTTTTTTTATGTAATTTTTTACTGTAAAATATTCTTGAATGTTGAATTCTTATGAATGTGCGATTTTCTTCTTTATTGTTAAATTTAACTACGCTTTGCATATATCGATCATCTTTCATTCACGCTTGCAAGAGAACGTTATTCTTTGTGACGCGATAACTCATGGAAAAATTTGATATAGGTAGATTTAATACAATACTCTACGGCAATGTACTTCGACACAGACACAGAGAAACCCTCCGAGTGTCGGTGAATGTGAAGATCACGTGAAAATAATATTCGGGACACAGGGACGAGGCGGGGGCGTTCGCTCGCGAATTCATCCGGCTGTCGTTTCCCCGATCGAGCAGCGAGCATCTCCCGGCTTTGTGCGTATTGGCGTGTCTCGCGTGAGGAATTCGTCGCTGTGAAGAAGAATGAAAGAATAAAGCGCACTTTTATCTGGAAAATGATGAGAAACCAGGGTGCCTCGGCAGCACAATGGCGAGGCCGATGCATACGAGAAGAAATGAAGCGGACCGAAGAGATCCGAGGTATTGGAAGGACAAGATAAAGCGAAAGGAGTTCCTTGAGTAGAATGGAAGAGAGAGAGAGAGAGAGGTGGGGAGAAGAAAGAGAGAGAAAGACAGACTACTGTAAAGGAATGCAAGTGTAAGGATGCGTTGCATCCTCAATTCCGTAGTGCATTGCAGTCGATTATTTGATTCACGTGAGAGAACCTGCAAGCACCGCGGGAGTGAGGTAGCTTCGTATCGGATCGACGTTCTTCTTGTCTTGCCGTTGAGACATTAAGAGAGAGGACACGATAATGAAGAGGACTCGACAAGCACCGACATATATGCGCGTTAAGATCGATTCTTTAATCTGTTCGCACTTAAGACCATGGTCAAAGATCGATCGTTATCTGTAATGGTTGTACAAGGAACGTAATCTGGAGGAACTGATGGAAACTTTAATTAACTGTCTAACTTTAGGAAGGTTTTTAACCATGCGCAAATTAAACTGTCTAAACGAAAGAAAGACTGTAGGAAACTATTTATTTAAGTAAATCCGATTCCTAAGATTTTTACAATTTTTATAGATTTTTTTATAAAATTATAGATAAGAAATTAATTAAAATAAAATCGAAAATATATTTGTTTCATCTGATGTATGTAATACGTGCATAGAACTGGATTAAAAGAGATACATATGTACATGCTTTGACAAAAAAGTTATGCACAGGTCTAGAAAGGACTATTGTTTTGGAAACAGTGATAGATACGGCAAAATGTCACAGAATTTTTTCACATTATTTCGATTTCTCTCGACGAGAAAGATTTTACGTGTCGAAACTATATCATCATTAACGAGAAAACTCCCGATGTTTAGATCTGTGAGTAACTTTTTTTTGTTCAAAGAGTATATATATATATATATATAAAATCTTCTATTTTTTAGTGTACAAGAATACGTTGAAATGCTTCAAAATTTCTGTTAGTTCACAATTACAATTTCATGATCTCTCGTTAAGACTTTGAAATAACGACCTTTTCGTATTAAGAGCGAACTTTAGTACCTGATATATGTCGAGTCGTTCAAAAAGCTTCCTCATTTCCGAATCTCTGCTAACTTGCTTATGAATTTATTGGTCCCCGGTATCTACTCCTTTCTCCTTTTCCCAACATGTTACATAATCGCGTTACACGCTGAGTTGGAACTGTAATATGTAGAAGCTCAGGCGCTATATTTCGTATGTATGTGCGGAGCCAGAATTTCAGCCATTGTGATAAAAGATTATATTCCTGCTACAATCGTTCTAAGAAAAGTATAAAAAATGAAAAGCAAACACTTTTCTTAAAAGTTTTATCAATATATAAACAAGTGTGTAAAATACTTTAATTATATGAACATTAACAAGTTTAGCGAAAAATTTAGCTGTAGGAAATAATGTTCTTGAATAGCAAGTGGAAAATTATTCTTAAATTAATCTAATTGTGAGAAAATCTGTAGAAAATTAGATTATAGAATTTTAACTGAGAATTGTATTACTACAATTAATTAATTAATACATAGTTGTGGCACGACTCGAAATAGAATGGAATTATTTCTATTTTCCAGTTATTCCTAAATATATTAAGAGAGTAACTCAAAATAGTCTAGTAAATAAATAACTAAATTGACAAATATCTTCTTTAGTACTTTTCATACATTCGTAAAAAAAAATCTATAATTTCTGAACACGACAAAGATGAGCCGATACTGAGGAAGCAACAATAGTCCGAGTCGCTTATAAAGAAAAAGTATTGAGATATGATTGCAAACAGGCGGCTGGATAGGAACAAGTTAGCCAATGGAAAAATACATACAGTGAAATCACGGAAGACTCGTTCGCCTACTCGTTTACCTACTTAACTATCTGTCGTCTAGCGTGCGCTATCAGGATCGCAACAGGTGTCTTGCCTTGCCATCACTTACCTCGACATGATAGTTCGTTCCAGGGATGATTATATTTCGATCGCCGTTGCGCATTACATGGAATTTGACGTCGCGATTGATAGAGACAGCTGCATTACCCTGCTAAAAGGGAGTAAAATGCAAATTTTATGGAAAGTCTCCCTTCAAGATTTACGTATAAATCGAGATCTTTCACTCAAGTAAACGCCTCATAATTACAATATTTGGATCGTTCAAAATCGGATTTGCTGATTTTAACATATAAAAAAACTAACATTTTTTTATATGTGAAATACCTATTGAAAATTGTAAGTTAAATATTTAATCGCTTATTAATTAAAATATACATACGTAATATAGGTATATATTAAAATATAATTAAAAATATAATTAAATAATTAATTATTAAGATTTATTGTTATAATTATTACAAATATGAATGTAAATATTCCATATTTATGTGCTCGAAGCGCTTGGAATGTTCATGGAGCAAAGATTAAAAGTACACATTTATATTTTAATGATCAATAATGAATATTATTTGCGTTGATATTCTTTTTGTAAACACTGCCTGTATTTAATTGCTAAATACATGTGTATAATTTTTTGTGAAACATTAAATGCGATGTTTAGTCAATGAAGTTCAGAATTATATAATGTTATCATGGATTCATAACGTGTAGTTTATAAATCACGTGCCATTAGCTCATATAAGTTCATGTAATTTTAGTTACGAGATTTTATGGAAATTTAAAGCCGCTTTTTAGGCAGTTATTTCGACACTTTTATCTGGCCTAATTTGTAGAAGGTGCTTTACCGTGTTTATATCATACATTACAATAGGATTAGTTTCATACACACACACCTGTAGATCTCATATTGATAAGAGAATGTATTAAGATCGGAGGCGATTGCAATTTTCTAAAAAGAATTGTAATT